ATAACAAAATTATAACTTGGTTTTGGGACACTGTTCTTAATTACATATTTGAATTCCATTCAAATTTAATATATGCAATGAAAAAAAAATTTAGATTGACCGGAAACTGATTAAAATAATTCCTTCAAACAATATTACTAATTAACAATAATTATTACAAGATTCGGAACAATAAAAATATTATTTGTTCGTTACACTTACTTTCACTATAGCCTCGCTGTTTTTAAGTCAATTTCAATTATTGAAGAATACACTCAATTACAAGTTCGTTTTCTTAAATAAATTGGGTATTGTATTTAAATTATTTACTTAAATTCATTAAATTTTAATTCATATTTCAAGTAGAATCTCGTGGCATAATTAAAAATGTATTTTAAGGAATTATTACGATATCCGTTTGAAATTTAAATAATTATTTTCTAAAGTAGTTAATTTACATTTTGGAACAATATGATTAAATTCATGTTTATTTATTTATTATGAGAGGAACCTCTAAGAATCACAAAATATCCAATAATTACAAGTTCCTAATGCATGTACTGCTGTAAACAAACATTTTTTCCTCTTATTCCTTTATGCTCCCTTAAAAGAGATTACTTGATTTGACTCCATAAAAAGTTCGAGTAGTTTAGCACCAACTTTACGGATCTATACAAGTATTTTGGGGCCTTCAGGTCTTCTTAACCTTGTAGATTCCACTCTTAACTTATTCTGGATATGTTGTTTACGGCTTTTTTTTAGGGTGTGTCCAATTCATCTCCAATTTCTCCTTCGGATTTGCTTCTCGATAGACTCCTCGCCTGTTATTACTCAGAACTCCTGATTACTTATAGTTAGCGGCCAAAATATTTGGCATATTATTCTGAGGCATTTATTGGTGAAAACTTACAGATTCTGCTAAGCTAGATTTCTTCTGTCGTACATCAGAATCGACTTCACGTATGACCGGAATATTCTGAGTTTGGGTGCTCTGTATATCTGAGTGTTCGTCGATATCGATTGCAGCTTATCAAATGCGGCCTTGATTTCCATTGCCTATTTGGCAGCTTTTCTTGATATATTTATTTCGAGACTCACATTCTGGCAAATTTTCGGGAAGCTCGAGTTCGCGCTGCATGTCTCTGATCTTGTTGGAATGAAGATAGATGCCATCTACATAATCTAGGTGTTCCAGTTGATGAATGATATTCCTTGACATGAATTATGTTCCTTTACTGTGTAAACACAATTTGTAATTGTTGTACAGCACGAAAGTGAAAAAAAGCGGAGAAAGAGGGCAACCATGTTTGACCCCCGAAGTGGTAGCGAAAGGCTCACTAATTTCCCCAATACATAAGTACTACCGTGTATTTCTGCTTACAGCAGAATACAAACATTATAATAACTAAACAGTCGTAATGCTTATAGAACGTCCCTTTGACAAAACAAAAAAGTTCTATGTAATTAATTTTTCCATAAATTTGTAGCAGGTAATGTTTGACCTTTGAAAATTGTTTTATTTTATTTCCATTAATTTTATTTTTATATTCAATTTCTTTCTAATATCTGTTTTATAACGAATTTCATAACAATTATAAATCGTGAACTTGAAAACTTGTTAAAGTTATAGTTTAAGTATTAAGATTAAAATTTCTAAGAAAAATTTGCTAAAATTATTGTGATTTAAATATTACGTAAAACAAATATGCAAAACAAAATACTTCTAGTGTCTGATATGCGTTTATTAAAAAATTCCAGTCATCCTATGTGTTAAATTTATAATATCTTAATTCAGACTCCAAAGATTATCACATAAATCACGAAAATTTAGATTTCCAAGCTTTTGTTCTTCCGCAATATTTCTTGTATATTTCTTTAAATTTTTTGTAATAGTATAATGGATTTGTTTGTAAGTCATTTCACAAAATTCGAAAAAAAACGCAGCACTCTCCAATTTGTACTAAAAAAATAGGTCGCCTTTTTTCACACAATATTTGTATTATTGTATTACCAGGCGCCAATGAGATTTTTTTAAGGAATTTCCGATTAATATGAATTTATCATTCAAGACAATAAAAAATAAATAAAATTTAAATGTGAATGATCTTGCTAATTGAAAATTTCTTAGAATTTTTGTATTCATGTCTTTAAAAAATGATAAAAACAATAAATATATGTACGTGAATTTTGAAATTGGTAAATGTTGAAAGAAGCTAAAATCATCGTCATCAAAAAAAAATATGCCATCATCAATATGTAAATATCCAGTTAATATTTTGTTAATTGCAAAATCAAGTTTAATTTGAGACTGAAATATTGTACAGATGTTAAATATAACTAGATAAAGCTAACACTATTAATGTTATTAAACTTGTGTTTCTCATATGGCAACATCGAATACACATATGTAATTAAAAACTGTATGCGTCAATACCCTAAGAACAGTACCCAATGTAATTAATATACTTAAAATTTATACAATATTTCTGTAGTCCACATAATTGAAATTGCTAATTTTCTAATATGAGTCATGTTTCTTACCCTTTTTGTTATGCCACCCCAGAATATATTTGTAGGTACTTCTCATTCAATATTTAATAACATACTAAATCATTACGCTTTAAATATCATTCTATTTTTAAAACAAATTAATTATTTTTTAGAATTGATTGTACTTAACACGTCCTTAACGCCCATTCATAAATAACAAACTTTGTTTTGAAAATACATAATATGATAAATATTTTTATGTATATGAATTGCCAGCATATTATTACTTTGAGCGCAAAGTGGTAATTACTTTTGAAACAAATTTTGAATTTTGTTATAAATTTTGCCCAAATTGCAAAATAATTTTCAAAATAATGCCGTTTCATTAATAATTTGATCAACAGGTCGCCTGCCCCCCCCCGTCCAGGCTTTTTACACATTATTTAAGTTTGCATATAATATTTCTAAATTTGTTCCTACATTAGTGAGGAAACCTGGTAACTTTAACAGAGAAAAGCTATTTTGAAAAATTGATTGTTTTGTTAATTTTTTAAATTGCAATGTTGCAAATTGGACTGACGAACAACACGTTTCTCACTTAAAAAATTTTATATTAAATTTATATTGCGGGTTGTTGTTGTAATTTTGTAAAATAAATTATAAAAATTATAAGCTTCTTGATAAATTTTTCTATTTTTTAAACCGGTTTATCTATTAAATAATTAATTTTTATTTTATGAGAAAAACACATTTTCTTAAATAATAATTTATTTAGAATTTATTATTAATTTGCCGGCTTACAAAGCATAAATAGGGAATAGAGTGATATGTAACATTAAAAAAAGCTTAAAATTTCACCTCAGGCTGTTAAAAGTGCGTGTGACTTTTATTGGAATTCATTTTTTTTTCAAATTAAAATGAAAAAAACAAAAATTTCTCTTAATTTAAAAATATAAATATTTTTAATTTTATACCTGACATCTAGTGATATTCAATTGATCTAGTGATATACAATAGTGCTTTGTAGAACTTAGAAATTTTGATTCAAAATATTTTTTATCCGAGACAATTTTTGGTTCAGTTCTATGATAAAATTATCGTATTTAATAATTTATTATACCGCCGAAACTTATGCTATTTTATGTGATTTTTGACATTGACATTATAATTTCATATTCTTTAAAAAACACTTTGAGAACTTCATAATATATTTTTAAGTCATTCTCCTAAATATATGCAAAATAAGTTTAAAATAATTTATACATTAAAATTTCAGAAAAAAAAATTCAACACAATTTCCATTACGTAATAAAAACGATAAATATTTTTGGAGATGACGGTTACCAGTGAATTTAATAAACCATTATCAAAAGATGATCATACTGCAGCAGCAGTTGAAGGACTACATAATGAAAATCCTATTGCAGCCGAAGGTATTGAAAATAAAGCATTTCAATTAGATCCAATTGATCATATTATTGTCAATAATGGAGAAGTGCCAAAAGATATTGTAACAATTAAACAAAATAATGACACAAATGGGTAAGTAATTAATGAAGGCAGGTTTGTTTACAGAAATTTTATTTTATTCTTTTTTTAATTCCAATGGACGAATATAAATAATTTTTTTTTTGTATAAATTTAAATTAAATTTTAGGAAATTTTTTTTAATATATCACAGATTTTTTTGAAGGTAAATTTTAATATTTTTAAAATTTTATTGTAATACTTAATTTATTTTTCTTTGAAGTGATTTTAATGGAATGAAAGGAATATAAAAAATTAGAAAATAATAAACTTAATTAAAAATTAATCCTAATCTGCTAAACTTTGTGTCATGTAGAATAAATAAAGAAAATTTATTACAAGCTGTTAATTCTAAAAAAATATAATTTTAGGCTTTAATTTTCTCTAAATAAGAATTAAAATAATAAAATGACAATAATATTTTATTTTATTCATAACTAAAATTATTAAAATTTTGTAATTGTGAATGACTCACATGACATATTATTCTGATTTCAAAACGATATTGTGAATAGAATAATATTTTAATATTTATTCCACACACAAATCACGAATTAGAATTTCGAAATTATTATTATCAAAAATTTAACAAAAATCAATAAAAATACATTTTTGATAATAAAAACAATTCCAAAAAATGTTTAGCAACATTTAAAATCATGTTTGCCAAAATATTTTATAAACAAATTAAATTAAATTATCGCTACAGTAAGACATAAAAAATATTGTTGTTGTTATTTTTGACATTTTGATAATAAAAAGAATTTGCGTCTGCGGCGAGAATTTCTTTTTTTTTTTTCTTTCTATTTCACCTGCATGGTTTTTTGATTTTTTTCATTAATTTTTTTTTTATTGTTGTTGTTTCTAATGTAATTTTTCTGCCTTTCTGTCTGACTGACGGATCTTTCATGGTATTTTTTGTTATTTTTTTTTTGTTTTGTTCTGTTTTTGTTTTTTTTTTTTTTTTTTACAAAAACTGCTGTTGTCATATGTCAAGTTTTTTCCTACTGTCAGTCAAGTCTAGAGTTTCTTGATGTTTAGAAGTGTTCGCTTGGAAAATTGAAGACAAAAAAGAAAAATTTATAAAATTTTTTTTATTTTAATTAAATTGTCCTCCCTATATAAGTAATTACTTAGCAAAGGAAAAGTAAAGTAAAAAAAGAGAAAAAATAAGAAAAGTAAAAATTTTTTTTTGATTGAAAAATTTTCCAAATAAAGTAGAAGAATTTAAGAAAAATAGCAAGAGAATTGAAAAAGCAAGAGCAAGAAAAGGAATAAAGTTAACAAAGTTAACAAGCAAAAAAAAAGGAATTATATAAGTCTAAAAAAGAAGTTTTTTTTTGGAAAAAATTCCAACAAATGTCAATTTTGTTTTCAATAAAAATTAAAAGAAAATTAAAAAATAATAAAAAATTTTTAAATTAAAAATCAAAATTTTATTGTTAAAGAAATTTTTTTTTTTGTAATTAAAAATTGTAGAAAAAGAGAAAAAAAAAAGAATTTCTAGAGTTTGAGGAATTTTTTTTTTCTCTCTCTTCTCCATATAAAGTTTCTAATGTGTTCTATTCTAATATAGAAAAAAAAAAATAAAAAAAAAATTTTTTTTTTACATATAGAAAATTTGTGAAAAACTTTCATTGATTTTTCCCCCTATCTATATATATATAGCATATATACACACACTTGTTATATTTCTGTATATACAACATACATACATAAATAAAATAGATATATAAAAAAAAATATATAAGAAAAAACAACAACAATAACAACAAAAAAAAAATAATAATAAAAATAACAACAATAAAACGAAAAAAAAAAAATTATTTTTTGTATATAGAAGAAAGCAAAAAATAATAAGAATTATAAAAAAAAAAATAATAATAAAAAAAAGTCTATTTTTGGGATTAAATTATTGATTTTCCATTTATACTCCACTTAGATACAAGGAAAACTCCTTATTGTACCTTTTACTTACAAAGCATAATAAACCAAAAAAAAAAAAAACAAAAGTATAATAAAAACAACACAGAAATAAAAAAAGGACATTTAATTTAAGCAAAGTAGGAAAAAAGAAAAATAACAAAATAAAAAATAATAAAACAAAAAATTTTTTCGGTTATAAAAGAAAAATCAAATTAAAAGCGAAAAAAAAATTATAAAAAAAAAAAACAAATAACAACAACGAATATTTTAAATAATTTTTTCAAAATAATCAAAAATTAAAGGAATCAAAAGTACCTACTTACAAAATAAATAAGTACTTTTTGATTTTCTTCGAAAACTCAAAAAAAAAAAAGGAAATTTAATTAGCCGAGAAAAGCCCGAACTCTTTTAAATTCAATCAGGTAAGTTTTTAATTTAAAATTTCATTTGTTTTTTTATTAATAGAAAAAAAAAATTTTTAATTAATTTTTCGACATAACTTCGCCTTATATATATTAATTACCTATTATTATAGTACCTATATATTGTATAGTACATTTTTTTTTTTTAACCTATATACCTAAGTACTTACATGAATAATTTTTTATATGTGTACATTTTTTGTTTTTTTTTTTAATCATTTCAATAAAGGTGATAGAATATTTTAAATTTATTAGATTTTAAAATTCATTTAATTTTCTTATAATCAATTATATATATTGATATATATAATCTATATATGTAATTTAATAGTATATAATATATAAATGTTCATTATATAAGTATATAAGTATTGCTATATTTTGTATTCTTGTAATCAATGTTTTTTAATTTTCTTGTTTAATAATATTATTAAATATAATAATAATTAATTAAAAAAAAAATAAAAAATTTTTAAAATATAAATTAATAAAACTAATATTAATTCGGCACTAATCCTATTTCACAAATCAATGTTTTCTTAAATTTTTTTTATTATATTTGCTAAATAATAGCTATATATACTTAATAAAATTACTAACATAAAATATATAATTAGGTATATATATAATTAATAATGAAATGAAGATAACTATAAATTAAAAATAAAAAATAAATATAAGAATTTATAAATTAATTAAATTATTTGTAAAAAAATAATATAGAAGATTTTTTTTTTATTATTTTACTTATTTATTGTCGCTATATATTTTTGTTATATATTATACGATATATATACCCTATGATATACTCTTTGATTTTTACACAAAATTATAGTTGGTTTTTTTGAGTGTAAATTTTAAGTACTTATGCAAATTATTAGTACTATTGCTTTATTTTGCACATACTTAACATACTAATTTCTGTTCTTAATAATTGTTCTTATTTATTTTTATTTCATACAAACGTATATATATATGTACTTTACAAAATGTAGAATGCATTTCTTAAAAGAAAATTTAACAAAATATTTGGAAAATTGCAAATTTGAACTCGCACCACGACATTCAAAAATAATATGGTCAAGTACCTAGTTACTTTTTTTCCAATTCGAAACCACTTTATTATGAATTTTGGAATATTTCATTTAAATTACATAAGTATTATTATTTCTTGAAATTATTTGTTTAATAATTTTATTTATTTTTAAAGAATTCTATATGGTGTTAAAATATTATGGAGTATATAAAATAAAAATTCAATCAATCATTAATTGTAATCAATAAAAATTAATAAATTAGAAATTTATATATGTAGATCAATGGAATACGAAATTTTTTATATATATGTATATAAGTATAGGACATAAATTAAAAAAAAAATCAAATATAGTACCTTATATACATTTGCCAATACACAAGTAATTTGCAAAACCTTCTTATACATTATGTGTACCTACCTAAATTACAAAACCCACTTACCGAATAATACCAATTAATTCTGGTTTAAATTTGCATCTAGCTAGTTAAAATATTTAATAAAAAAAAAATTTTTTGCAAATATATTCAATTAAATCATAAAAAATCTTTGAAACAAGCGGAAAAAAGAAGAAGAAAAGAGTAAAAATAGAAGCGCAAGAGATGGAAAAGGAAAAAAAAAACCATTTCACATGTAACTTACTTATTTAACAAGTGTGCAGAAGTTAAAACTGGAAATTGTAAATTTTTTTAAATTAAAAGTCTGGTTATATCTAGATTTTACTTTTGAATTTTGAAAAGAAAAAATTTGAATACCTACTATACTTGATAAAAAAATACACAGAGAAAAAAAAATCAATAATCAGATGAAAAATTCAAATAATATTTTTAATGAAATCTTTTTTTGGAATATTTTTTTTCGGATTTTTTGAATTACATTGAGAAATTATTATTGAAATATTTTTATTATTTACAAAAAATAAAAATAATTTCTATTTTTTCTTCTTATAAGGGTTTTTTTTTCAATGTTAAATTTTTTTTTGTTATTTCGGAATTAAGAATTCACGAAAAGGAAATTAACAAAGGAAAAAAATCACATAAATAAAATTTTATTCCAAAAAAAAAAAAAAAAAAATAAAAAACAAAAGTGAGGAAAAGAGGAAAATTCCATTCTATATAACAAAAAAATATGAATAGTGATTGCGTAATATTAAGAAATTAAAATACTTGCGACTTCTTGTCTCTTAACAATATTTGATTTTCTTATTTTTTTATATTTTTTATTATTAAATTAAAAATAAATGTATTCATTAATAAAAAACAAAATCCTTAATTATTCCATTTTGTTAATTATTTTTATATTCAATTATTATTATTCTTGTTATATCATTTCAATGTATAACAATATAATGTTATACTATATATATTAATTAATAGTAATAATAATTACTTTATTTACAATTTTTAAATATTATATTAAAAATAATTAAAGTAATATAACAAAAATACCTAAGGTAAAAAAAAATTTGTAGATTAATTTGTAGAAAAAAAAAATTATTAGAAAATATTTGCATATTATATAAATTTAATGTATATTAAACAATTAGTATATTAGTTTGTATAACAGGTATAATTATTAATATACTTACTTAGGTATAGGGAATCAAATTTTTTAATTTAAATATAACAAATATGTGTGCTTACTTCCCGTGATATATCATATAGTTGAAAATTTCTTATAAAAAAAAAACTGTTATACAAAAATTTATTATTTAAAAAAAAATTAAATTTCAAACTACTTTTTTACATATTTTTTTTGAAATTTCAATAATTTTTCTATTAGAATTCGCATAACTTTGTTTTACTCATTTATATTTCATAAAAAACTGTTATACAAAAATTTATTTTAAAAAAAATTAAATTTCAAACTACTTTTTTACATATTTTTTTTGAAATATCAATAATTTTTCTATTAGAATTCTTATACCGCTCATCGCATAACATTGTTATACTCAATTATAATTTAAACACATATGCAAAATGATATTTGAAAGAAATCACTTAATCCCTTTATTTATTAAAACTTTAAACAATTGTAAAATCAACGTATGCCTAAGAACTTTATATACTTGATTTGAAAAACTTATATTGCCTCTCGTTTTAAATTTAATTTTCCTCAATAGGCGTATTTAAATCTGTCCTACCATGGGTTTCAAAACATATTTTTATAATTAATTAAAATTTTTAACAGTATATAAGTACCTATACTTTTATATAATGCATAATTTGTATTATTCCTTAAAAAAAGTCTATAAATACTCAAATATATTAATTATTCCAATTAAAAATTTGTTGTTTTCCATTCTTAAATCAAAAAATTATACAAGAATTTTAAAAATCTTAATTTTGTTTTTGTTCAAAATAATTCTATTTTTATTCCATATATATTTCATATAATTATTTGTCATTGTATTGCATATATTTAAGTGTTTATGCATGATATTATATAATATTCACGTATCCTCAGTAACCACAACCATAATAAAATGAAATGAAAAAAAAATCAATTGAAAATAAAATGAAATACTTACCATAACAATTCTTTCTTAATTTTATATGCACATTTAATCAAAAATATACATATATATATATCAATATATACCGATATATATACTCAAATATATTATGGTTAGAGCTCCAATATATACTGAAAAACGTGTATATATATACATGCATAATATTTGTGTAGGTACTTTAATACTCAAAAGGTGAATAAATTTTTATTAGGCCAGTTTTTTTTTTCAAGAAAAAAACAAAGAAAAAACAAAGAAATTAATAAAATATATAATATACATATACCTACGTATACATGCACAGGTACCGGAGTATATATATATATGGAAATAAAAATGAAATGATTATTATTCAAAATAAAAATAATGGCTAAGTGTATATAATGGTAATAAAAATGTGAGAAATGGAGTAGGAGGCGAGGGAAATAAGAAAAAAAGGAAGAACAATTTATATATTTATAAAGGATATATATATATATTTATATATATAGAAGGAAGAATAAGAAAAATAAAAAAGAAAACAAAAAAAAATACAATTATTCATAACAATTTAAAAAGTACTTACCTATACAATAAAATAGTTTAACAATTACTAGTTACTTCTGTAATGAAATCAGTTTTAAGTTTAAGGAAATCTTAAGTACTTCTCCGGACATACTCAATAATTAATACTTTATTTCTCATTTTTAAACAAATGTAGTACAAAGTATTTGACATAATTTTTATATTTTTCTTATATATATTTAAAATTCGAATTCAATTCTATACGAACCAAAGATATAATTATGCGTTGTAAGTAATCAAATGTTTCTCATTTCAATAGAATAACTATAATTCAGTTAATTGCAACATGATATGTTATCTAAAAGCTTTAATAGCAACATGTTATCCGAAATGAAATTAATATTTTCTACAATCTGCTTTAAAATAAAATTATACAGGTAACGAAACGTAAACGAAGAACTGTTATACAGAAATAGTTTTTTTCAAAAAATTTCACTGAACTGAAAAAGGACACTGAATTAAAAATGTTCTATAAAACAAATATTTTAAAGCCATAAATTAAAAAAATATTTGTTGTATTAGTATGTACTAAAAGGACCCTCCATATTTATGTATAATAGTTTTATGCTGCACTTATATACTAGCCCTGGCTTATATATAACCTAAATTTATTAATTAATAAAATTTTCTAAAATAATTTCGTATTCCAATTGATTTAAATTTTTTTTGGATAAGTACTCATGTACTTGTATTATTTTTCAACAAAAAAAAAAAATTGTTATTTTAACAATTTTTGTTTTTATAATTTTTTATTTAACACCTAAAATAAGTTTTTTTCTTTATATTCAATTCAATTCAGTACAATTTAATAAAACAAGTGATAAACAAGTATAGTCACTTTATTATATTGTGTTATACAGATATACATATGTTATATTGTATAACAAT